AGAGCTTGAAGATCAGTAAATCAAATACACATGTCTCGGTTCATAAGTCGTTAATGTTAATTTAAGGACTGCTTTTATTCTCCCAAATGGGATAATTAGTTGCGATAAAAGATGTCTGTCTGTATACTTTTCAGTTTAAAAAATGTTCTACTTGTGAAGTCCAACAATTTTATTTATCTATTTATTTCATTAATGTATTGTTTTGTTGAGCAGTAGCTTTTGATTGCGTAGAACAATGGTTAAGAAAATAAGGGGGAGGGAAGGAGGAAAAAAACAAAATCAATGGCAGAATAACAATTTAAATGCCTGAATACCAGTAATTTTTAGCGATAAGACTAAAATAGCTGATAACACTGTACTCTTCAAATTTTCATGCTTATATATAAATGTATTTGGCTGTAACCAGCGAAAAGAAGAAAACTGAGACGGTACTTTTGGCGACTGCTAAGTTTAATGGTTCAACGCAACAGTTTTCTTTTGTTCTTTTTTCTTGGTTCAAAATCTTGTAGATTTTTAAAAAATTTATAATTTATAAAAATTTATAATTTATTTATTTTTTGAGAAAAATTGCAGCAAAACGTTATCTAGTCTTAATTAATAACGACTGGCTAAATAAAGTGCAGAAATCAAATTGTTATAAAGACTATCAGCTTGGCTATCACAATTTCTAATGAGATAATAACACTTATTTGCAGCCATTAAAGAAGGCATATTTTAAGCTTACGAAACTGATACAAACTGTCAACAGCCTAGGCTTTAGATTTTTGAATAAATGCTGTCTTAATGTCACTGCCAAAAATAAATGCAGGCTGAATGTAAACAGAAAGTAACACCGTTGTATAATTAGCAGCTATACTGTCTTGAAATTTTTATGTTTTTTGACATCAGAATTAGTCTCCTTTAACTTTATGTTTTTCAGGAAGTAAAGGTAGATAGAAGAATTTATTTGTTTTGTCAACAACAACTCTTGCATTTGAGATGGCTTTAAAATAAAAAGTTTTGATATTTCCATCCATGATCCCTTCTTTTTAAAGTTGAACTTCAAAATAGAATTTATATCATCTGACCAAAAAATATCTGACCTTTTAAAGTGCGGGGCTGTTAACCTTCATAAAACCTAGATCAATTCATTATCCTCTATTGTACAGCAGTAACCAGATGAAAAATATTTGCATATAACAGATTTAGGTTAAACTTTAAACTAGATGTCAAAAAACTTCATACCTTCCACAGCTCAAACAACAAATCATTTGCGGTCAATTTTTAGAATGTATTCTTTTCCAGCAATATTTCAAATGCAAAGAATAAATTTTAAAAACGGATAGCTCTTCGGCGTTAAATCAAAACCGTATTGTTGGTGCAAAAAAAGTTTACGTAAATATAACCAATGAGCTTTGATTAGGTCAAATGAATTGAAAACTATTTTTCATGAATATTTTTTCGTAATTTTGACATTTTTCTTTTGATTGAAAAATTTTATTTTAAATTTTAAACTTTGATGCTTCATAATTAAAGAAAACAACATTAGTGTTAATTCGAAGTCTTCCAAAAAAAAGAAAAAAAAAAATTGCAGGTGATATTTGCTCAGCAGTCCAGCTTTATCATCGGTATTTGACGGCAGTTCAACAATTTTTTTTTATTATTTGTCTCGTCAACTTATTTAATGTTTATCTGAGATGGCAAAAAGCAAAATCTAGTTTAAGCAAACAGTAAGTTGAGGGCAAAAGCTTTCCAAAGTTGCAGCCAACAGAAATTTTGATTAAGAAAGATTTATAGTTAGCATATTTGAAAAAAAAAAAACTTTTTCTTTCTTCATTTCATTTACTTTAGTTACACCAAATTGCTTTTTTTTATTTTTAAATTTTTTTAATGTTACATAAAAATTGTGCAAATGCTCTCAACATTGGTACCTAAGCATCCCTCTCCACTCCCCACTCCCTCCTCGATTACCTCTCGTCGCTTTCGCTTCTGATTTTCATCAATGACAAGTCGGACATATTGCTTTTCGTTCTTTTCTTTTTTTTTTTTTTTTTTTTCCC